CTAAGTATGAAGAGCTCCTTCGTGAAGAGCAAGACCGGAAGAGCTCTTCCAAGGGCACTTACTATCGTGATCCTAATTATGAGGTGTATACCACTGAAACTGAAGGGGAATTTGAAATAAATGTAGCCGAGCTCAACATAAAGAAGGCTTATACTTGTGAGGCCTTGACAAAACCAAAGTTAGCCATGACCAACTTGCAAGCCGCCTCTGGTTCCAAGTGGAAGGGGGCAGACCCTTCTAAAAGTTACTCTTTTAACATCGCTAAAGCCGAGCAAATTTTTTATTTGCTCATGGCTGACAAGCAACTGATTTTCACAACAGGCCACAAGATGCCATCGGCCTCAGAAATAGCCGAGAAAGAGTATTGTAAATTTCACAATTCATGAAGGCATTCAACTAATAATTGTGTGATTTTCCATAACATAGTGCAAAAGGTGATTGAAGACGGCAAATTAAAGTTTTCAGAAAAAATAGAAGTCATGGGTGTTGATGAAAATCCTTTCCCCAAGGTTGTTGCCACAAATATTACTTCCCTTGCCGCGGAACACCCTAAGAAGAAGGTGGACTTGGCAGATTCAAGAGCTAGTGGAAAACTTGAAAGTCCTAAAGTTGTAGCATCCCTGGAGAAAACGGTGGCCGAGTTGGAAAAACAACTCCGTGAGTCTCAAATAGCCTTAATCCAGCAAGGTTGTTGCCCCAAGTGTAAAATTCAAAATGAAGGCTGTCATAGAGATGTTCCAAAGGAGATGCTGTCCAATGATGACCGATGCCAAAAAAGGAAGGTCTATGATCGGCTGACTTTCCAAAAGGTGGAAAACATAGTTACTGTAACCATTCCAGAGAAGGAAAGTCGGGTCCATCCAAAAAGAAGGGCAGCAGAAAGGAGATCAAAATTCCTTCCAAGGAGTTTAAAAAGGAAAAAAATTTCCTATCAGGCAGGACCTCGTCCTAGCAAAAAGTTTGAAAGTAATAGATGGCAAAACAAAGGTTCTGAAGGTGATAGACATTGAAGGCCAAAAATGGCCTCAGAGGTATGGGTTAGAAAGGGGAATGAACATCTCCGACTAAGAATGGCTAGACCTCCTACCTTGCAAGATGAGGGGTGGAGAAGGCTTGAACATCCTAAGTTCCCTATTCATGATGACTCTTATATGACCCGCACATAAAAGCAAAGGCAGCAAAGGAAGAGGGCTGATAGAAGGAAATTATGGGAAAAAGACCATGGTTGGTCCAACTGGCCACAAAAAATGGCTAAACCATCAGATTTATCTGAACTTCCAACTAAAGGAGGGGTTAGAGATCCTGATGATTTCTTGGATTTGGTTTCAGACGTTGAAAATTCCTTAACTACAGACAACCCTCCTACAAAAGATAGAACAGACTTTGAAATCCCCAATAGTTCCAGCAGCAGTAAGAAAATCTGTTTTGGGAGCCTTCCAAGTGAATTTACTTGCAATATGGTAGTGGTTCTTCCATTATTTTTTGAGCCACAGCCAAATCAGCCCAATTCAATGGAAGGAGATGTAGTAGATACAAGTCCTCTTATAGAAAGCCCTGGATAGTCTAGTTCTGGGCCATGGTATCCATATAGAAGAAGTTTTCAAAGAAAAAACTGAGTATCTCCAGAAATTGAAGGGAGTTATGATTGAAGAAATTAGCCCCATGAAATCGAAGAAAATTGTGTTAGAAAAGCCACCATATGGCATGAACAGTAGCTCAAACCTTATTTTATCAAGGTACTGGTGGAAGGGAGGCCCTTAGTAAGAGTTTTGGTGGACAATGGTTCAGTATAGAATGTTGTTCCAGTCAATGTCATGCGCATGCTTGGAAAGTCTCCTAAAGATATCATTCCAACTGATATATCCGTTAGTGGATTCACGGGAGGAATAGTGAATACACAAGGCATTCTACCTTTGGAATTAATGGTGGGAGATAGAACTTCCATCACAGCCTTCTTTGTTATTGAATCTACAGCAGCCTATAACTTGCTTTTGGGCTGCGAATAGATTCACCCAAATTTTTGCATTCTATCTTCACTCTATCAAATGCTAATATTTTATAATGGAGATGAGGTAAAAGTGGTGAAAGCTGATAGCTGACCATTTATGACAAGGGTTTATCATACAGATGCTGAGTTGTATAGTGAAAAATTCATTCCAATCAGATTTATTGGAAATGATAGCAAGGGTCGTCCAAGGAAGGCCACCATAAGAAGAACTCTCACAAAAGAAGATGTAAAGGAGCTTTTCCAAGAAACACCAAGGCCAACAATTCTACCCAAGGCCGGTGTTCAGCACTACATTTCAAATAAAAGTTTTTATGGAAGAGAAACCTAAAGAAAATAGAGTGCTTGGCTAGGCAGTTAACTGCTACCTTGCCAGGTTGAAAGAATATCTAGCCGAACTACGGCTGGAAAAGGGCTAATGTTGTTGGTACTTCATTTTCAACCAATGTTTTGGAAATTATGGAAGATACTGAAAACAAGTTGGATGTTATCCAACTGACAAACTTGAAGGAGGCGCCAATGAAGTTAGACGATCTCAAGGCCGAAGTACAAGATCCACTTTTAGAAGTTAATCTTGGAACGGAACAGGACCCTCGGCCTACTTACATCAGTAAGCTTTTGGAACTAATCTTTAGGGAAGAATTAATTTCCTTACTTAAAGAATACAAAGATTGATTTGCATGGACATATGAGGAAATACCAGGACTTTCCAGAGAGCTGGTAGAGCATAAGTTGCCAATTAAGGAAGGTTTCAAGCCTTTCAAGCAGCCTCCAAGAAGGATGTCCCAAGAAGTTGTTCTAAAGGTCAAAGAAGAGATAAATAGGCTACACAAGACTGGTTTTATAAGAACCGCCAGGTTTGTTGACTGGATTTCCAATATAGTTCTAGTTATTAAGAAAAATGGCAAGCTAAGGGTATGTGTGGATTTCCAGAATATCAATCTTGCAACTCCAAAAGATGAATACCCCATGCCTGTTGCTGACCAATTAGTAGATTCTACTGCCAAGAATGAAATTCTTTCATTCATGGATAGGCATTCTGGGTACAACCAGATTTATATTGCGGAAGAAGACATTGCCAAGACGGCTTTCAAATGTCCAGGATCCATTGGAACATTTGAATGAGTTATTATGCCATTTGGATTGAAGAATGCTGGAGCAACATATCAAAGGGCCATGAATGCCATTTTCCATGACATGATTGGCCATTTCTTGGAAGTCTACATTGGTGATGTAGTCATCAAATCCTCGGCCAAGGCTCAACATCTCCATAATTTAAAGATGGTTTTTGAAAGAATGAGGCAGCACAAGTTGAAGATGAATCCTTTGAAGTGTGCCTTTGGGGTTTTAGTTGGAAACTTCCTGGGTTTTCTAGTCCACCAAAAAGGTATTGAAATAGACTAAAATAAAGCAAAGGCAATTATTGAAGCAAAGCCACTGGCCACTAAGAAAGAACTACAAAGATTTCTTGGCCAGGTTGGATATTTAAGGAGATTCATTGCCAACCATGCTGGAAAAACTCATGTTTTCTCCCCATTGTTGAAATTGAAAGGTGCTGAGGAATTTAAGTGGACCGAACAACACCAGCAAGCCTTTGAAGGTTTGACAAGCTATTTGGCCAACCCTCCAATGATGATGCCTCCAATCAAGAAGTGGCCTTTAAGATTATACTTATCGGCCGCTGATGAATCCATTAGAACTCTTGTAGCTCAAAACAATGAATGGGGAAATGAGCAAGCCATCTATTATCTAAGTAGGGTACTCACTCTAGTGGAATGTAGGTATACATCCATTGAAAAATTGTGCCTTTCCTTATACTATGCAGCTATGAAGTTGAGAACCTATATGTTGCCAGTAGCCGTGGATATCATTTCTCAAACAGATTTGATTAAGTATATGCTTTCAAGGCCCTTGATCACTGGACGTATTAGAAAGTGGTCATTGGCCTTAATGAAGTTTTCCTTTAAGTATATTCCACAAAAGGCAGTCAAAGGAAGGGCAGTGGCAGAATTTCTAGCAGACCATCCTTCCACCAAGATTGATTCAGATATATGTGACGAGGTGGATAATCTCTACCTTGATTATACACCTTGGACTCTCATGTTTGTGGATCAAACACTCATGATGGAGGAGGAGCTGGAATGGTCATCAATTCACCAAAGGGAAGAAAAATCACATTTTCTTTCTTCTTGGATTTCAAGTTTACAAATAACCAAGCTGAGTATGAGGCACTAATTATTGGGCTGGAAATCCTGCTTGAGTTAAAGGTGGAGAAAGTCCAGATTTTGGAGATTCAAATTTGATACTTAGCCAACTTTCTGAAGAATATAGAAGTCTTAACTGGCATTTGAGGACTTTCCATTCTTTGGCCTTGGAATTACTTTGCCAGTCTGATGATTTCCAACTCAAATATTAGCCAAGACATTTGAATACGGAGGCTGATGATTTAACACAGCTAGCCTCTAGAGTGAAAGTCACATCGGGTGTAGAAGAAATTTTGATCACAATCAAAAGAAAGACTCTCCCTTCTATAGAGTCATGGTATAAGATGGCAGGTCGTTTCCAATCTGATGAGCCAAAAAGGATCAAACCTGCTAAGAAAACATGGGAGATTTTCAATGTTGATATAGATGGCTTAGACTTGGAAGATTGGAGAACACCAATTATCCATTTCTTACAGGAGCCTAGTACCAATGTGGACAAAATAATTCAACTTTTGGAACCTTATTATATTTTGATTGATGGAGATCTATATAGGAAAAGTAAAGAAGATGGGCTTTTACTAAGATGTCTTGGCAGGAGTGAGTCCATGAGAGCGATGGCAGAATCACACCTTGGAATATGCGGAGCACATCAAGCTGGAATCAAAATGAGGTGGCTTTTGAGAAGGAACGGTTATTATTGGAAGGGTATACTAAAGGATTGCATAGAGTTTGCAAAGACTTATACTACATGTCAGGAACATGGCCAAGTCTAAAGAGTTCTGGCTATCAACATGCAGCCGATAGTAAAAATATGGCCATTCAGAGGGTGGGCTTTAGACTTTATTGGAAAGTTAACACCATCATCTACAGATGGATATACTCATATTGTGGTAGCAACGGACTACTTTACAAAATGGGTGGAGGCTATTCCATTAAAGACCTGTGAGCAGCCAACAGTGATTGATTTTATCAAGAAGCACATTATTCATAGGTTTAGAATTCCAGAGACTATCACCACTGACAGAGGGCTTTCCTTTGTTGGAAATAAAGTTCTTGATTACTGTACTGAGTGTGGCGTCCAAGTGATCAATTCCACTCCATTTTTTGCCCAATCAAATGTACAGGCTGAGGCTTCCAACAAAGTAACTCTCAATATCCTTGAAAAGATGATTGAGAATCATCCAAGGTAGTGGCATCACTTACTTTCTGAGGCTCTTTGGGCTTACAGAAATTCAAAAAGATCAAGTACTGGCGTCACGCCATATATATTCACATATGGACATGATGTCATTCTTCCAATGGAAATAACCATAAGGTCTGAAAGAGTGGCTTTCCAAAACAAGCTTACTCTATCATATTACAACCATGCCATACTGGTGGAATTGGAAGACCTTGATGAAGTCCGTCTTAATGTCTTGGACCATATTATTGCTCAAAAGAAGAAAGTCATGCGGGTGTATAACAAGAAGGTTAAGGCAAAAACATTTATGGAAGGATACCTGGTATGGCAAGTTAGATTTCCACCAAGAGTCAAAGACAAGGAATATGGAAAGTGAACCCCTAATTGGAAGGGTCTTTACTTGGTGGAACGAGTCCTTAGAAAAGGAGCTTATAGATTAATGAACATAGATGGAGAATCCCACAAGTATCCTGTGAATGGTGTATACTTGAAAGAGTATCATCCTTCCATCTATGAAAGCTGGAAATCCATAATCATTCAACCAGCCATGTAGTCTGGCTGGTACCCTCCTTTCCAAGTAAGCTGGAAAGTTGGAAAGGAATTTTAATGGCCATACTTTGGCCATTTATATAGCTAAGTCAGAATGTATGAAGGGAACCACTCGAAGAAGAAAAGCTAAGTACTTGAAAGGGTACATTGGCTAGGGCCTTGGAGAATATTTAGTTAAATATTTCCAAGAACAGATCATTTTCCAAGTATGGAGTTTTTTAGTTGAGAAAGAGGCTGCATTTCATAGTCCAGGTTTTACCTATCTTGGAAATAATTGACATTGCTGTATATACACGTTTTTCCATGTTAGCAAGTTCGTTTGTTTTTTCTGAATTTCTTCATTTTGGAAAGTCACTTTGTGACTAAGTCTCGTTGTTAATATATGAGAAGGAATTTTTTCCAGTTTCAATGATTTAGAAATTTTCTATTTAAGAGGCACAAAACCAAAAAGAGTTGGGAAATAACCTTCATTCTCATTGGATCCATAATTTCACTACATATTCCAAAAATGGTTGCTAACTCTAAAAGCTGGCCATGCAAAAGATTCCAAGAGAAATTTACTTATTAACTACAAAGCAACCACTTAAAATACCATGAGAGAACCACATCAAATGGCAAGAAGGACATTTCCAAGTGCCATCCAAATTTTCCTTGCTTCTTCAAGAGTAGCTAGTGCTTTGGTTTTTGTTTCTTCAAGTTGGGGAAATTCATTTACTAGAGTTTCCCATTCTTTCCTGTGAGGCTCAGATTCAGCAAGGATGGCACTAACAGTTTGATCCAATTCCAGCTCATCACGTTCCACTTGTTCTAGTTCTTTCTGAATTTTATTTAGCTCCTCAGTCAATGTGTTTTTCTTGGCTACAAGTTCCTCAGCCTGTGCCTTGATTTCTAGATAGGGTGCTAAAGCAAGATGAAAAATTTCAAAGGTTTTGTCCCTAACTTTAGCCTTTTTTTTCATATTATGAGATAGAGGAAGAGCTGGAATTCACATGGGAAACAAGGAATTGAAGTTGATGTTACAATTTGGTCAAGGCAATTTGAATGTAATCAAGAAATCTAGGGTGTTTCTTCAGGGTGACAATAGTTCTGGCCAGGTCATGATGGAAAGTGATAACTTTTTCCACATCATAAGCAAGATAAGATAACAAATTTCTTTTAGCTACTGTGATAGGATCTTCTGAGGGATCTGGAAGCATGAGCATGTTAGCACTTGAGGTTGAAGTGCTTGAAGACTGAATGGCCTTGATCACTTTGTATAGATCGACCAACGCTGGAAGAGCTCCTCTATGCATTGTGAAAGATGTTGATGTAGACAAAGATGGGGTGGCTTGAAGGAAAGAAAAGCTTGGTTTATTAGATAGAAAGTAAAAAATGAGGTGAAGTTTAAAAGCATGAAGACTTGCCTCTGGGATGGAAGAAGGATGGCCTGTAGAAGTTCCACCAGTGCCAGAAGGAATGGACGTTCCAATAGTGGGAGTTGGAATGGGCATAGATTTTCCACTTTGGTCTACCAAACTTTCCATAATAGAGGCTTGAAAGTCTAAGTCTTCTCCATAAGCAACTTGCACATCTGACTGAATCGGAGAAGAACCCTGCAAGATGAGTATAAAAGGGAATTATGGATACTTCAAGAATTTAAAAGGGTGGAGAAGGTAATGAGAGAGGCTTACCAAAACAATCTCTTTGATTGGTTTTAACTTTTTTATTTTTGGGGATTCTTTAGGCTGTTGGAACTCCTCGGTTTTCTCCAAGTCAATTTTCCTTTTTGCCTTTCTAGTAACTTTTCCAAAGGGACTTCGCTCGGTGAATTTCTTGCTAGAATATTGAGTATGAGTTTATCCTTTGGAAATACCATCATCATCAGTAGACTCTTCATCAGAGGAAAAAAGTTGGGGTTGAAATTCTTTCTTCATAATAGCTAATTCCTATAAAAGAAGATATTAGAAAATCTAGAAATTAGAAAGTTAAATCTAGTCTGGAAATACCTGAGAGATTTTTTCTTTACCTTTGGCCTTGTAGAAAACATCTTCTTCTTCTTCTTCTTCCCCTTCAACTTCTTCTTCTTCATCATCACTAGAAGAAATACTTTCATAACTCATATCACCACTTTCAGCCACACCCTCAACCTTTCTAGGTAAGACAATAGTTTTCTTTCCACCCTCACCATCATCACTTTCCTCAGGAATATCTTCTTCTCTATCTGGAATTCAACATTTCAAATCTCAGAATATGGAAGATTAACAGCAGTATAAAGGAAAAGGGGAAGTTTTGGAGTAAAGTATATTTATACCTGAAGACAAGGTTTGAAGGAAGCTAAAATAGTGTCACAAACGGCTTTATAGTTCTTTGTCCGAGTGGAAGAAATATAGGCCGTCCACCATACGGTAAATTCATTGGAAGATTGAGGCTTACTAGTATGGCCTTGAAAGTTGAAGGCCGACCGTTCCACTTCATAAGCCTTGTCAATTGCTGCAAACTTGGCAACATCTGTGATCCTCACTCTTTGATCAAAGTGTCGATTCTGAGATTTATATGGTGGTAAGGGAATAATTTGGGTGAACCCATTTGCCTGGCCAGTTGGGCTGGATGGTAGAATTCCACACCATAAAAGTTGTTCCTTAGATTCAGGTTGGTTGTGCTGTAATGAAGGTCTCGAGCAATTATAAAGCTTGCCCAAATATTTTTCCATTCTCCAGTATGTTTTTTAGTAGAAACTCCCGGAGAAGGAACTAACCAGGATGGCATGTGGCCAAGAAAAGTGAATGGATCAAAAAACTTGTTGTCTCCAGCTTCATATTGGTTGTAAAGATATTCAAATTTTTAGCAAAACTGAAAGTAGAAGGGGATGTTGTTGCTAAGGGGTAGCATAAAAGGGTTTTTCTAGTTTGCATGGCAAGGGGGGATGTTTTATCTTGAAAATATACCTTAAGCCACATCTGGAATAACCAGAAAAAGCCTTGAAATCTTGAGAATTTGGAAGCAAGGAAGTAGTTCAGGCCTTTGTATAAATGAGAAAGTACGAGAGGAACTAATGCCAAATCTCCATTCCTGGCCAAAGATATGGCAACTTAGACAAAATCCTTGGTATCTTGTCCGGATGGAACATATAATAAGTACCCAGAAAGCCAACAGATTAAGAAAGCTATGTGTTCATCCTCTTCGACTGGCCCAGTTCTTTTATAATGTTTGATGAAAGAAAGGTGGGATGAAACAAACTTCTTGCTACCAGTGTTTTTGGCAGGAAAAGGGAATTGGTCAACATAGAGAGTGGCATTAACATCATCTCTATGAGGTTTGAGGCCAGTTATACAACAAATATCCCTTAGAGTCGGGGACATCATTCCACATTTTAAGTGAAGGGCATTTGTGGTTGAAGACCAAAAGAAAAGGGCTGGAAAGAGAAGATTTGGGTCAAGTCTAATGGAGGTTTTGCTAATCTAGATGATATCAAAAACTCCTTGTTTTTTCCATTGCAAGGAAATCTTTTCATCCTTGGAAAAATAATTCACCCAAGAAGTCCAAGAGGAACTGTATGGTGGCCAATTCCTTATACCAAAGGAAGGTTTTACTTTCTTTCCTTTTTGTGAGATAAGAGGAAACTTTGAATCAAAAGGGAGAGGAGACGTACCGGAAGGGTAGAACTCTGCTAACTCAGAAGGGGCTACACTTGCAAAAGCTAGTCGAAGTCCAGTTGAAGAATCTTTCAAGGGAGCCAAGGTTTCGAGATATAGCCTATTAGGGTTCAAGGACTGCAGGAGTAGTTGAACTTGATGACTAGGACTTTGGGTTTTGGTTTTAGGTTGAATTGAAGGGGCTGGAAGAGAGGAACTAGTGGTATGTTTGGGAGGTTTCTTGAGCTTTATAGGAGCCATGGTTAGTATTTGTCACGAAGCTAGGGTTTTTGGTTTAGCTGGAGCAAAAGAAAGGAGAATGATCTTGTGATTGGAATAGGAGATATGAGTATATATATATATAAATGATGAGACGGCTACGCCTTTTGAGGGTTGGTAGTTGGGGCTTTTCAAAATTTGAAAGTGAGTATTTAAGATTAGGAAGTTTTGATGGTTCTTAGCCATAAATGGACGAGACTCACATTGGGATATGAATTATTCTTTTTGAAAGAGGCGACAGTTACAGATTGATATGGAGGAAATCGAGGGGTTAGTAGCATGTCATATGGTAACTCTTCACGTAATGATTACTTGGGATTGGTCCAAATCTAGGGACGATTTGTAAAGGGGCTTTGTTTGGATAGTTCAGGATTTAAAAGAGAAGAAGTGGATTTTTGCCATAAATGGATAAGATTTTCTCAGAATATGTGGTACTTTTCAAATAAGCGACGGAATAAATAGATATTGAAGGAAATAAGGAAGTCAGCCACATGAAAAGAGGAAGTAGGAATTTTAAGTGGGTCATGATGGCGGAATTCAAATCCCATGCCTTATCATCAAGTTGTTCCACATGGCATGGAATTTAGGGGGCATATGTTTACTCCATTATTTTAGCCCAATGGAAAGGCGACATGTGGCGAGTTCCAATGAGCTTGCCACATTGGATCAATTCCCTTAAAAATTTAAAAGAAGAGGCATGATTTGGAGTTGTAGAAGGTTGATTTGGTTCTACTCACCAATAAGGATGAGATATGTGGCGAGTTCTAATGGAACTTACCACGCTAGATCACAACTTTTATGAGTTAATATTAAAAGTTATGTAATATTACGTAGTAATTAGACAAGTGGGTCAGTATAATCCTACCATGTGGGGTTACCATGTGAGGTTTTTCTATTTTAAAAGGAAAGAGGTGAGTCCTATTAGGACTTGCCATCTTTAAAAATTAAGGGTCCACATCTTCCTATATGGAATAAGGCACACATGGCGAGTTCTGTGGGACTTACCACGACTTATTAATTCCTTAGGGAATTGTTACTATAGAAGGTGTTGTATTTCCAAAAGAATCCCAAGTACATAGAGATTCATCAAAATTGGTAGCACTGAAGTTGACCAAGTCAGAAGAAGGAGAATGTGGGGCTGGATTCTCTCCTTATTTTTAGGAGGCTTCAACGTTTATTTCATTAAGTCAACTGTGTTTGCAGAAGAAAAAGGAAGTATGTTGGATGAGTATATGTGTGTGTGTGTGTGTGTGTGTGTGTGTGTGTGTGTGTGTGTGTGTGTGTATTCTGGGAAACTAACCACGATGAGGTCATGGTGCTATGAACTCCAAGTTCAAAAGGAAAGTTTCAAGAAGGGAAATTACTGAAAAGGAACGTGGTCTGCTGAAGGAGAGGGACATGGGAAAAAGTAATGATGAAGCAGTCGATGAAATCCCACGATGAAGCAGTCGATGAAATTGTGGAGTCCATGGCGTCATGAATTTCAAGCCAGGAAAGGAAGGTTTGGTTGAGAGAAGTTACAGAAAATCAAAAAGACATGATTTGCAGAAAAGAAGGAACGTGGGATGACACATATTTATACACATATGTATTTGTATTATATATAGCCCATGATGAAGGAGTTGTTAGAAAGAAGGAGCCATAATGCCGTGAAAGGAAAGATCAAACTGGAAGGAAGTTACCCCAGTTAAGGGTAGCGTGGGTCTGCAAGTAACTTCTTTATTTATTCATGATATATATGGAGTTGTATGGGGAAAGAAGGAGTTTGTAGAAAGAAGGGATTATAAAGATAATGGGACACCTGGCCAAGCAAGAATACGTCGATTGATAGTGGTGGAGCTTCATAGGGGAACTACCACTAACTGAGGGAAGTTACTGAGGATCATGGATAACGAGACTAAAACTGATAAAATCATGTCTGAAACTAAGGAGAGAAGTCGACAACATGAGTAAGAAGAATAGGGACGTGGGACACTTGTCAATTGATAAAGAGGACACGTGGGAATTCACTTTAGAACTACCCACGACACAAGTTCATTGAAGACTAAAGAGAATATGGCTGAAGTCTGCAACAGAGAAGGGAGAAGATGGGAGGAAGAAATTACAATTGCCAAGAGATCATGGGACACTTGGCAGTCCAGAATCTGGCCAGGTGGAAATCGCTGGAGTTGCCACATCAAGCTGCTGCATGTATGGAAAGCTCCATAAATAGAGCGCTTAGAGCTAGTTTGCAAACCCTGTTCAACACACACAACCAACAGCATTTCAATTACTTTACATTCATGTATCTTTGCATTCATGTAATGCACTTTCAATATATTTAATTCAAGTCTTGCACTTATTATTCCTACTTTCTAGCACTTTACTTTGAAGTCTTGCACTTTCAATACAGCTTTCCTTTCCACTAGCCATAGTTCAGTCCGAAAGTCATTTTTCAAGCCAAAAAGAACCTTTGAATGTGGTAATTCCAGTCATTCATTCAATCGCTTACTGGATAGTTATTCGGATATCCACTTTGGAACGACAGCAGTTCCTGGCACACCCGACGTTCACCCTACTTTCCGCACCTAGAAAGGACCCCGGTTTCTAGGAGCCGAACATTTTTTATTGGACATGAGAATGTGAATGGCCAATATCAAGGAGCCTGGTTGTTCGACATTGTCCATGGAAAGTGAAGTTTCTTTATTTATTTTTATTTAAATAAAAGAATATCTCTCATAAAACATTTGTGCATGAAAATGGAATTTTCCAGTTTCCACTAGGAAATCCCTTGTCTATTGCTTGGCCACATGACTAATTCTGATGCAACCAAATGAATTCTTCTGGCAATATTAATGAGCAGAATTGAGTTGTTAATGATGATGTCGTCTAAACCACTGCATGAAAATACACTGATTCCATATACAACAGGGATGTCCGAATACATTAAGAGTTCACCTAATGTACGTAACACGTTGCAAAGTCGTGTTTGGAAATTTATTTATAAAATAAATCAATATTTCATAGCCTTTTAACCCTACCCTTTCCCTAATTTCATCCAATCAAGCTAAATATTAGAATCCCGCAAAGGAAATAAAAATTTTAATTTGGGACAGATGAAGCAACACGTAAGGAGTAACTTTTTATTTGGATGTGAAATATTACAAAGAATCACTTATATATATATATATATATATATATATATCTCCACCACATACACGTGAACCAGTTGCTTTGCTTTTTTCACTTTCCCAGCCTACACTTTCCATACTGCCGACAGCCTCTATTGACGTTTCCTCCTTGTAAAGTTTTGGAGTTGTAGCCTATGACAGTAGTACCAGTACCTTTTGTAGGTGCTTTTGATACTTTTGGTCCTGACGGTATAGCAGATCCGGCATGGTTATATTTGTGTTTGCCTGCTCCCGTATGACTATCTCCGTCTGCAAAACTCATACAATGAACAAAATGAATGAATATGAATGTGTGTGTGAGAGAGAGTACTTACAGCTGCTGGGAGTGGTGGATAATTTCCTCACAGAGAGTACAGGTGAAACCATGATGAGCCAAATCATGAATAAACAACATATGGTGAAACAAGAATAGGTGGAAGAAGCTTTGCATTCTATTTTTTTTTTTTTTTTTTTTTTTTTGGTGTATGGCTCCAACGAAGGACTGAACAAAGGAAGTTATTATAGTATACTACGTTTTACTTGATGATGATGATGATGATGATATATATATATAACCAATGTATGAGGGGGCGATCACTTGGAAAGACGTTGGCGTAGAAAGTGACCATCAAGCCAATACAAATTTAGCAATAAAGAGACCATAAAGCAATCAAAAAGATTCCCGAACCCCAAGTTCACACACCTTTCTAATTGCCTTCAGCAAAATCCTGATGGTACGTTTGGTGTGCACGAATGGAATGTAAAGCAAGTAGGAATGGAATGAGAATAGGAATGGAATGGAATGGTCATTCTCATTCTATTGTTTGGTTGTAAATATGAAATGTGTAGGAATGGAATGATAATAACCATTCTACTGTTTGGTTTGACCAATTTAAAATTTAGAATGGAATAAATTTCTAATTGAATTCTCCAAAATATTCCTCTTAGTAACAAATAAATTAAATTAAAATAACAAAATGATATTCTCTAATAATTTTTTAAAAATAAATGGTGGCAGTGGCGGTGGTGGATGGTGGAAAGCGGTAGTAGTATAGGTGGTGGTGTTGAAAAGCGACGGCGGTAGCAATGGTGGAAGGTGGCAGTGGTGTTAGTGGAAGGCGGTGGCAGTAGTGTGGTGGTTGTGGTGGAAGGAGATAGTGGTGTGACTATGGTGGTGGTGGAAGGCAATGAAGTGGCGGTGGTGATGGTAGTGGTGGAAGGTGGTGACGATGGTGGCGGTGGCAGTAGTGTGGTGGTTGTGGTGGAAGGAGATAGTGGTGTGACTATGGTGGTGGTGGAAGGCAATGAAGTGGCGGTGGTGATGGAAGTGGTGGAAGGTGGTGACGATGGTGGTGGTGGTGGAAGGCGGCGGCAGTGGTGGTAGTGGTGGTGGTGAAAGGTGGTGGCGGTGGCAGTGGTAGAAGGCGATGGCGGCGGCGCGCGTTGGTGGTTGTGGAAGGCGACGGCAATGGCGGTGGTGGAAGGCGGCGGTGGTAGTGTAGTGCTGTGGCGGTGGTGGTGGTAGTGAAAGGCGATAGTAGAGGTGGTGGTGGAAGGTGGTGGTAGCGATGGCGGCGATGGTGGTGGAAGGTGGTGAAAGGTAATAGCAGTGGTGGTGGTGGAAAGTGGTGGCAATAGCAATGGTGAAAGGTAATGGTGGTGGTTGCGGCAAACGGTGGCGGTAGCGGTGATGAAAGGCGGTGGCGATGATGGTGGTGGAAAGTGGTGGGCGATGGTGAAAGTCGGTGGTGGTGGAAGGCAGTGGTAGTGGTGGTGGTGGTGAAAGGTGGAGATGATTGTGGTAGAAGGTAATGGTGGTTTTTGGACTTGGAATATGAGGGTGTTTTGGGAAGTCCATTTTTATAAATAAATTACTTGGGAATGGAATGTCCATTCTATAAGTTTAGTTGTAGAATGGATTTTCATTCTAATGAAATGACCATTCCCACTTTAAGTTGCATACCAAACAAAGGAATAGTTAGAATAGGCTACCAATTCCAATTTCAAGACTCCAAAGCCAAACACAGCCTTACCATTCCTGGAATTTTCTTAATATATATTGATCTTCCCTTTTGTTGGTCAAATTTTACTTACTTTCTTTAATATTTGTACGTGAATAACACATATTTTCTCTTTGTTAACAGTCTACTGATGTTAATAATTTTGTAACTTTTAAATTTTAATTTTATCCTTCAAAAACATATATATTTATAATATAATATATAAGAATAGAAACATAATTACAAAAAATTCATTAACAAAAAAATCAATGTAATTTAACAAGCAACAAAAGTTATCTTGAAAATAAAATCATGCTTTAGGGACTTCATGTAAAAGGGAATTCATTGATTTGAAAACTTGTGCCTTGGAATTGGAAAAGAAAGTAAAAGCCGCATGTTGAGAATCCAATTCACTTTCACTGGAGTTTGAGTTATTTCCATTTAAGAGATGACAATTGAATTATTTATATGAACTATGATGTTGATGCATGCATGTTGAAATGGTTTTTCCCATTTTTTGTATCAATGCTTCATATATGCAAGGTAGTTTTCCTAATGACCCCATCTCCAGTTTTTGTCTGTTTCAAGTTGTATTTGAGCTATGTATCTATCTCATTTTACCATGGATGATATTTTTGTAGTAGCATGCCCATGGTTGTCTTTTCATTATGTTTTTCATTGTAGTTTTGCTAAGGGACTAGCAAAATGTAAGTTTGGGGGTGTGATAAGCACCGAATATTGTATATTCAAGCGCCCTAAATTACATTAACAAAGTCCAGTTATTAATTATTTTATGTAGATTAACTCCATTTGCATGTTTTTATGCATTTTCAGGTTAAAGTGCAAAAAGGAAGCAAAAATGATGCCTTGTGGAATTTTGAACAAAAAGGATGCCATTTCTGAATTTCTGGCAGCAGTGATCCTGACTTTTGTTGCCATTTTCGACCTAGCAAACTCAAGAACTAGACTTCCATCATAACATGAAAGATTTAGATCTCTGAATCAGCTTTCCAAATCTTCAAGTGTTTCATCATTCGGAGTTCGGAGCAGAGAGTTATGATCTTCGTAACAGAGGTGCACAGAACTGCCTGGCAGCACTGAAGTACTGCCTTTCTCCCCATTTTCGACCAACCAGACTTGAGAATTGGGTCTTCATCAAAACATGAATTTTTTAAAGCACTAAATCAGCTCTCCAAATCTTCAAACAGATCATCATTCGGAGTTCGGGGCACAAAGTTATAGCAGTTTTCCCAAAATAGGTCAGTGCTGAGCAAGAGGAACATGTTGCACATTGCACTAAGTTAGAGTGCTCGAGATCACTTTTCGAGTGCTCGAAAATCAGGCAGATTGCACTCAGAAATGGCTCAATTTCAGCCACTTGCACATTGGTTTCCTCAATGCCATCTTCCTTCTTTATGAAGTGGTTGGAGGTGTTTCTTGGAGGAGAGAGAGAGGGTGTGTTGGAGAATAAAAAGCTACCAAAGGCCACACATTTGCTATCTTTGATCTTTAGCAAGATAGAGGAGAGAGAAGAGAGCAAGGAGGAAGGTGTTCTTGAGTGCTATAGTAGGAGCTCGAAAATGGAGATGAAGTCTTCTTCTTCCTCTTCCATTTTTGTATCCATGGATAACTAAACCTCCATCTAGGGAGGTGATGAAACTCCTCCTTGTAAGCATGTCTAGTTTTTGATTTATTTTGGGGAATGAAATGTGTATTTGACTAGTTCCATAATCTAGAGCATGTTACATAATGTAATGGATGTTTTAATGTTCTAAAGATCATGTTGCATTAAATACTCTTGTCTTAGATGATTTAATCTCATGGTTGTATGGCTTGTAGTTTCATAGTGACAATGAAGCTAAGACTATGGAATGGTTTTAATGGCATGATTTTGAGTAGCTTGTTAATTCATTGCTTAAGAATTTCTTTTGATGGATTAACCTTGTGACTTGTTATCATGTGCTCTCATCAATTGGTTACTTGTTTGACAATCTCTAGCTTAGTGAGCATGTTGAGGATTGCACCATAGTTTAGGTAATTTAAGCATGTGGAGCTTTGATAGGTTGTTCTTACATTTTAATTAATTGAATTTCTTGAAGATGATATAGTAGTCATGAATTGCTATTCATCAAGGTCATTTCTACATTAATTCCCCAAATCAATCATATAATTAGCTTGTGTAGAGGTTTGGAGTGGATTCACTTCCCTAGACTTCCTTCTCTAAATCTTCTCTTTTAATCTCCTTCAATTTATTGTTGTATGCATTCTGAATTTGTAGTTAAGTGACAACAAACACAACCTCTATGAACACCCCTTCATCATCCTAAGAATGACTCTAAACACTTAGGTTGCCTTAGACTAGCGCAGTCCCAGTGATTCGACTTACCCGACCAATAGCCCTATTTTACAATGATTCGTGCTATTGCGAAGGTTGATGAATAGTTGATCAACCGATCAAACATAATGTGTTTATAAAACTTATTTTAGAATGCATTCAAGTGCATGATAGGGTCATTTAATTATTAATTTTGATCTATGCATGCTTAGGAGGCTAGTTGCGGAATTATTAAATTGTTTACTGCAACTACATGGCTAATGCTTGGATTTAAACTGCTGAAATATTTAAACAATCTTCTGAATTGTTTTAGCAATTTATTGGTTAATAATAGGATTATTTAACCTATTCACATGCATGATGGAGTTCCTGACATATTAAATTTGGTCTATGCATGCTCTAGATGTTAGTTGTTGATTTGTTAAAATCGTCTCCTGCAACTATATGGTTAAATGCTTGGATTTAAATTGCTGAAGCTTTAAATAGTTTTCTGCAATTGTTTGGATGGTAGTTTTTGGTCTGTGAATTATTGAACTGTTATATATGTTGTAATTTACATGGATATGGAGGATGGTATGTACCGGTATGGGACGGTGACATACTAGGGACGGTTTAGCTCAAAACGCATAAACCTAACCTAATGGATTAATGGAATGGATTGAAAGATATCGAATCCTAATTGTGGCTAAGTCAGATCAGCTGTAACCAAGTTGGATGACTTCCTGGATTAACGGATGGTAGTTAAGTCATATCAACTGAATAAGTGGAGTGACTAACTAGTTGGTTTATTGTAGGTCAGTTTAATAAATAGTTGAACTGCTTACCCTGGATTTGGACGGACTTTATATATATGTTTATGGTACCACGAGTTGAGCTTGAGTCTCAGACTCGTTGGTTAGGGTGCATATATGCAGTGGATGCGTAGCTGGTTATAATAGGTTGAGGTGTACCCTGTTAGGTCTAGGTACTCATGCCCACCTTTGGGTGCGTATTCGCATGTTGCCTTCTATTCAGGTTGAGACCCCTATTATAGACTAGTGAATGTCCCTTAGTGTGGATATATTTATATGTATGGACTAGATAGATATTGTGAGGTGTCTACGGTGTATCTGCGTATCGGGTCACTGTATGGATTGCAGTTAGATTAGAACTTGCTCGTGGGTCTGACCCACTCCTTTATTATTCTTTTCAGGTACAGGACGGTTCCAGCTTTAGAGCTTGATCGTGCTTGTCGAGGACAGTCTCACCTTTATCTGATTACGTAGGACTTCTCTCGATATTTCTAGCATTATCTATTTTCAGTTTTCAGTTTCAGTTGAACTTTTGGTT